AGGCTATCATAGCCCTTTGCTCTGAAATCTGTCCTAGCTGCAGCTTGATGCGGCCTTTGAGCTTTTTAAAAAAAACAACCTTGTCACCTTCAGCCTCCAAACATACCTTCTGCGAGGAAATTTGCAAGCAGAAGATACTTCTATATATAAGGGGACTTCAGAAAGTTCATGGAAAATGCCACTATTTTAATTCCATTTTCCCATGAACTTTTTGAAGTCCCTTCCATATGCAGTATGAATGGAAGTGACTATTTAGCACTATACTTGGGTTTTAACACAGTGCGCATATTTTACACACACACATTCACGTATCAGGAAATATTTACACTGATTTATTTGCATGTAAAGTTTTCCTTAATACATAAACGTACTTTTTCCCCTTTGTGACTTTTTTTTTCCTAAATCAAATTCCAAAATTGTCCCTCTAATGTCCTAAGAGAGGGTATGTTCTTTGGAGAATAGAGATAAAGTGGGGGATGGGAGTGGGATCTAACTCCAAGGGAAAGAAAAAAAAGAAAAGAGGGAAAAACCCAGTCTGGGAATCTCAAGAACATCTTTATTTCGCCTTTTAACTCCCCGCCTTTCTGATTAAAGAGTTCAGACCTGCTCCCCCGCCCTCGGTCAATTATTGCCTGGCATCTTTTCTCAGAAGCTGTCACCACCACTTGCTGAACCGCATCCCCATCGTGAGCCATTCGTCAGGTTCTTTTCCGTTTCGCTTTTCTTTCCTCAGTTTCTCTCTGCAATCTTTATAAATCTCCCTTGGAGGAGGAGTGTCTGAGCGGGTGGAAGTCTGAGCACAATGCAACCTGAGAATTTCTGTCACTCTCTGCATATGCTCCTAAGTGCTTTAATCCCAATTAGGGGCGGCTGACACACGGTCCTATTCATCCCCATCAACTCTTGAATACATTTGCCTAGAAATGAACTTCACAAATAGAGGCACTCCTAAATGTGCCCAACAGCAAGGAAAATCGAATTGAGTGCGGGCTCATTCGGCAGCGGCCGGCAGAGAAGCGCTGAATGTGGAGGTGCCCTTAGACATTGCAATTCAACAACACGCTCGCTGACTTTTCTTTGCACCATGTCAACCGAAAGAACCAAAAAATAAGTTGGGGAACTCCGGTTAAAAGGCAACTTGAGAGGGACTCTGAATACTTTTATTGAGCCGCTTCCAATGGAGACCTTAAAGCACAACAAAAAAGACACCACAAAACCCACCAGCGGTGTCCCGGCTGCGTCCCAGCCGCGAGTTTGCAGCCTCCTGGCCGCTGCGCACCCACAGGCCTCGCAATTAAGTAGAAAATGGCCCTGTCGCTGGCGTGTCATCTGGTGGCGTTCCCAGAGCCCTTCGCCGCAGCCCTATTCAGATCCGGCCTTAATGTCCCACCCGCGCCTCAGGGGCCGCGCAGCTGGTCCGCTTTGACCCGCTGGCCTAGCCGGCGTGGACACCATAGGGGGGCAACGGCCAGGTCACTTCATCCAGCGCTCAAGTCTCAACTCCAACTACTGAACTCGGGGTGTCTTGTCCAGGCCACTGCCCCCCTGGTGGCCTCTCCAGCACTCCTTGACCCCGTCGCTACTGCCATCCCGGGGTCCCCGGCTCTGCCCTCGGGCCGGAGATGTAATTAGCGACCTCACAACACCTGGGTCCCCAAGGCTGGGGGACCCAGGAGGAAATCCATTCGCCATCCCCGTAAGGCCTTTGCCCCACTCCCATCTCACCCCCACTCCCGAGACAGACTGCCTCAGAGAGACGTGCTTTGAAAGATATCTCCTCTGCCCCCCACCTTACCTTCACCTGGGTCCCAGTCTCAGTACGCAGTCTTTGGTGGCGCTCTCCTGCTCTCCTTCAAACTGAGCCCAGTCTAGTGCCATGTGCTGGGTACCCACAGGGTTTTGAATCTGGTTATCTGATCTCCTGGGGGCGCTCACTTAGCACCACCTACAAGCAGCTATCGGTGAGAAGTGACTCGTAGTACAGCTCTCTGGCCGCTGCAGATGCCCACTATCCACGCCTCACTAAGACAACCTATGACATGGCCAAGAGCCGGCCTGCGCGGCCCATCGGTGACCAGGAGCTCGGCCGCCCCAGAAACCGCCTTGCCCAAAACTCAGGCCAAGAGGGATTTCGCTTTAACAGGGCCTCTGGACGCCCATTTTAAGTCCATAAAAAAACAGAGTGGAATGTTTTGATTGAGTCTCAACATTGTCTTTGAATAAGGCTGAGACCATGTAATTAATGTGTCTTTTTAATAAGGGACAATACGGCCGTTCAAGCTATTTAATTTCATTTAATTTTCCATCCCATTTGCTGCACAGCCCGCTTTTACTTTTAACACCCAGCCTTTCACGGCCCATCTTGCTCCACTGGGCACATTAGATTGGTTTCACCCTTGCTTTTTAGGGGAGGAAAAATAAAAGAAAATGTGTTCCTTTCCTCCTTTGTGGACAATTTATTTCACTTGGGGAACTTCAACTCTGAGCCACAGGACAGAATAAAACTCTTCGAGCTGGTGTGAATGCCTCTGGCGTAGGCCCTTTCTTCTCGCAGGGCTGGGAACCAGTCACAATTGGCTATATTAATAAATAACTTTCCTCACAGTCGGCCTTTACATGGTTCTATTGATAAAATTGTTCGCGTGTCGTTCACGCTTTTTCACTCATTAAGGAGGATTGGGGAGGCGCCGCGAACCCGGGCCCTGTGCTCATCTCTTCCTGCTCACAGAACTGATAATTTAAACTGGGTGTCATCCTAGAGTCGCCAGGCCAGAGGTTAGAGGGACATGTTCATGGCTTAAATTTATTGCCCTCTACTCTTCGAGCAGCTTCCTCTCTTCCTCCCCTCCCTGGGCTTTTGCCATTCATGGGTTGGATCAAAGGCGCCGTCCACTTGGTCTAGGGCATCCTTTGCGGCCCACAGAGGGGAAACTGGACGGTTAAGGAAAAAAAAAAATCAGCAACAACTCCCTCAAAAAGTGGCCCTAGCATGGCTGCAGTACTTGAGGGGCCACAGGGTGTGACCACCCAGACTCTAAGGGTGGCTCTCCTCCTGTAATATAGCAGCTGACTTGAGACACTTAGACACTTACCCGGGACCCTTGACCTGGCCTGAATAACTCCACGTAGAAACCATGTGTTTAGGAAGTTCCAAAATATTCACTGTACAGATTATTACTATTGAGCTTAGAAACAAAGTAGGATGAGTGAAAAGAAGGCAGTTGAAACTCTGTTTGAATCACTACTCCCATATTACAGGTTAGGAAACTTAGGTTCAGAAATAATTCACTCAAGGTTCTTGGGGGCATGAGTGCCAGAGCACAGACTGAACGAGAATGTCTGTCTGGTATGATAAACGCAGATCTTCAGCAATGGCGTTTAGGAAACTTCTCTGTAGGTCTAGAACTGACAAATGGGCGCCAAGTTACAGATGTGGCAACCCTGCTTCCTACTGCTCTTGTTAACCAGGGTCATCCCAGTACCCCCACTCCCACAAGCCAGAGAACTGTCTTCCACAGGATGAGAGACCAGCCCTGTTCATGTCTTGCACCTGTCTGTAGAGTGCTTGGGCTGTTACCATTAGGTCCCCCAGGAGGAGCCCAAACCTCAGAGCCACTCAAGGTTGGGAGTTGCATCAGAGATGATCAGAGTGGAGCAGGTACCAGCAAAACTGTCACAAATATGTAATGAACTTGATCACTCCGTTTCTATTCTATGAAAATAAGAGCCTTCCTCAAAAGAAAATTGGGCGGGGGAGGTTTTGTGGTTTAACTCATACCGCTAGTTCATGAACTACTTAAGAGTCGCCTTCAAACGCTCACCTCCTCCCTCTTCCACAACTTTTGACATACTGCGTTTTTTTATTATTTAAAAAATGTTTTAAAAAGAAAAGTCCAATTTGCCCGTTCTGGAGAAGTTAAACAGGCTTTCTCCCTGTTTTAAAATTAAAAGCAAAGTAGGGCTAGGGGTGAAATGTAGGAACAACCCAATTAATAATCCGGCGAAATGAACCCTTCTTTGGTCATTGCGAGGAATTAACCCGCAACCCCCCCCCCCCCCAAATGCGGTTCCGCGGCTGGTTATCACTTTCCCAAGAAGTGCGGGCCAGGGATGCGCCTAAGCGCTGTGAAGAACACCTGACCTCGCCTTCCCAAACTAACGCAGACGGTTCATATTTTGGGGCGAAAGAGGACACAGAGAACAACGATAAAGCGTTCTAAATAGACGACTGGCCTGAACCCAATACGCTGAAATGGTAATATGGTCGTTATTTAAAAAGTGTAGGTATTTTCTGGTGTTTTCCCATCAAGTACCTGCCTAATTTCTGTATGGCACACGCCAGAAATCAATAGAAGTTAACAAGTCCTCCAAATAGTCCTCATCTCTTTGTTTAATCTCCTTTACAATAAAGCAAAGGGGAGAGAATCAAAAATCTTTGAAGTAGACCAAGGCTCAAAAGAATCAGCCAAGTAGACTTAAAGTAGTCACTTATTTCCCAAAACTGGTTTGTCGGGGAACAATAAAAGGAAGTAAAATTTATGGAGAAATTATACAGTGGATTTGTCACTTAAAATATCGTAACTGTCTCGGGGACAATACCCCATGCTGAGGATTAATGGTCCCGCCGGACCTTTGATTCACCAGCGCCTTTTCTTCGCCCTTGACAAATTGGATTTTTAGGAATGGGAAGGTCGCCTGGACTATTGTGCGCCAACCATTCAGAGGCCTCGATTATGCAGGGGGCTGAGGGAACTACTCCATGTGACCCTCTCGGGTGGGACTCTGCAGCTGCTTCGCAGCGCAACTCTCTCACCAAACTCCGCGCCCTTGCGGTCGAGGTGCCAAAAGGCGCCTGCCCGCATTGAAAAGGCGCAGTGCTTGCCCGCCCGCGTCACTCCGCGGGCGGAGGACGCACGTTGGGACGCGACTCGGACTGTTGTCACTCGCGTCCTGCTGAGGACCCGGCGCGCCCGAGCGCCTGCCTGGCGGCGGCGGCAGCAATGCACGGAGTCGCCCGCGCTGCAGCCACCAGCGTGAACGCCGACTGCTGCATCCCAGCAGGCCTACGCTTCGGGCCCGTGCCTGGCACCTTCAAACTGGGCAAGTACCTGTCAGACCGCAGGGAGCCCGGGCCCAAGAAAAAGGTAATGGTCTTCCCGACCACCATCCCACTGCCGTTCTCTTCCTTTAGCCCTGCCCCAAGAAAGGGATAGGAATGGGATGAGAGAGGTAAGGAATGATTGAGTCGTTACCTGCCAATTCTGCAGGGTGAAAGGGGACATGGATTATTCCAGCAAATCGCCTTAACGGAGAGCGTGCAAGAGCTTGACTGAGGCGAGAGGACCTGGCCAGAGGAGACAACTCTGGGTGGAGTTCTACCAATACCAGGACCTTTAAAAACTCGAGGCTCACCTAGAGCTCTGGGGTCTCTCCGTAGAGGTGGTGGAGGGCCTCTCAGCACACGTTTGTTTTAGCCGGCGCAGGGCATCAAGGATTGCCTTTCTTCTTTTCTTCAATAAAGTAATATGAGGCTTTAATTTGCCCTCGAATAATTTAATATCATCTTAAAAAAAAAACAACCCTATATACATTCTTGAGAGGCTTCCAGTTCCTAGAACCTCTCTAGATTTCTCTCTTCGTTGCTGTCTGCTTGGGGGTTTGGGATAAACGGAGAGGGGACGAGCCAGGTAATAGCTCTGACGCGGCTCTTAGCTCCGAGGGCAGGTGGTGTTCACCCATGGGGTACTTGGTTGGGTGGCCTACAGTCGAGTTCTGTTAAGAGTCCAAAGTAGGCACCAGGACCAGTTCACCAGCTCTGGCTCCCCAAACAGCATAGCTGCCACAGCGGAGATTTAAAGGCCTTGCTCGCGTCGCGCCAAGGCGTCCCAGAGGCTGGAATTGGGCAGATAGGGACGGGGAAGTGAAGGCAGGAGGGAAGGACCGTGGCCCTTGCTTGCCGGTACCTAGAAATTCACAGTGAAAATTGCTCCGGTGCCCACCGCTGGCTAGCGGCACCCGCTTCTCCTCACTCAAGCACCCTCTTCCTCTGCGGTCTAAAACTGTGTTTGTTGCACACCACGCCTTCCTCTTTTAACGCGCTTTACTTTTAAATGGTCGGCCAGTCTGAATACCAGCTTTTCCCTGAGCGAGCTTTGTTCAGTCTGTCGCAACTGCGCTTGCCGGCACCTCCAGGAGGAGTAGAGAGAAAGGTGAAGACCCCAGACGCGGGCTGGGGGCGCTCTGGAACCTGGAGTTGCTGAAAAGAGGCTCTGCCCTAGTGTTAGGGCTGCTTTCGGAGCCCCAACAAGGAGAGAGGCGCGGAGAACAGGGACGGGGGTGGGGGGCGTCTTGCTACAAGGTGCGGAGCGAGGACGCGCGCTCAAGGTGCTGGGAGCCTTAAGAAGGGATACTGTTACTCTAGATGACTTTCCTTTTTCTGCCGCCCGCCTCTCAGGAAACCGCCCTACGGAATCTCCACCTCCTCCTGGCAGCGGATAGCGGTCTGGCCAAAAAGAACATAATCTTTTTGCTGTCGGGTGGGATGGAGGGTGAACTTTCCCTCTGGGATGGGGCACGTGGCACACGGGGAAGATGACGACTGCTTGTGTTACAGGTGCGCATGGTGAGAGGGGAGCTAGTGGATGAATCCGGGGGCTCCGCTCTGGAGTGGATAGGGTTAATTCGGGCAGCCAGGACCCCCCAGGAACAGACTCTGGAAGCTGTTGCAGACTTACCCGGAGGACAGGTACTGTGGACTCTTCCCCACTGCCAATTCTTTCTTCCTAAACCTATCTCTGCTGAAGGTCCATTTAATCCTCCCAGTAACCCTTTAACACCTAACCCAACCCAACCCAACCCAACCCAACCCACTGCAATGATGTCCATTCGGACTCAGAGCCATCGTTTAGGACACAGTAGAACTGCTTCTTAGGATTTGAGACTGTAAAGCTTTAGAGGTGCAGACAGCCTCATCTTCCTCTGATGAATCAGCTCATGGATTTGAACCTCCGATTTTTTGGTTAGCAGGCCAATACATCACCAGAACACCTTCAAATTCTTTCAAGTTTTGAGGTTCAAATCCTGGGGTTCTGAGGCTGTAAATTTTTAATGGAGCAGAAAGCTTCATTTCTCCAACAGAGTGGCTGGTGGGTTTGAACTGACAGCCTTGTGGTTAGCAGTCCAGTGTTTATCCTACATTGCCACCGATTCTTCTTTTGCTGGTTTAATCTCTTTTGTATTTCAAAAGAGTGATTTAAGACACACTCTACATTAATCTGGTCTCATTAACACAACAAAGACAACCCATTCCCAAATGGGATTATAACCCTAGGCAAAGAGGTTCCGATTTAGAACACATTATTTTCTGGGGACACAATTAAATGCCCAGTACTGTTATTTTTCCCTTTCAAAGGATGAGGAAAGTGACGTTCACAGAGGCCCAGTAGTTTTTCCAGTCACTACGTCAAAATCTGATCAGAACCTTTCCTCTCATTTGTCCTTTGACGGATGACCCATAACATGACAGAGAGCTATCTATTGTATTTCTTGCATCCTAGATCTTCTACCAAGCACTTCGAGATGTCCAGCCAGGGGAGGAACTGACTGTGTGGTATTCCAACTCCTTAGCTCAGTGGTTTGACATCCCCACGACGGCAACTCCAACGCACGATGAGAAAGGTACCACCTCCCTTAAGGCCTTCAGGCCAGTGCAAGTGGTCAAGATTTCAGTACTCTTTTGGGTTTTGGGTGAGTCCCCAGTTCTGTCTGAATTGAAAACTGAATTCAAACTCCCTGTGTGTAGTCGATATCACTACCACTTCTTTAAAATCAACAATAAATGGTAATAATAGTGGTAGTAATAATCTGGTTCACAGTGAAAATATAAAAAAAACAACAACAACCGCTAAACTTTGTTTGGTAATCCTTTATTTATTACATACCCCAAAGGACAATTATTTACAATAAAAATCATTAGAGGTGCTTTAAAATATTAGAGTAATTATACCATGAGCTCCAGAGAATATAACTGAAACCTGGAATAATTTTAAAAGGTGGAAGATTTGGAGGAGAGGAATGTATTTCTAGAGCATTTTAGAAGCATTACGGTACTTACAGCTGGTTAGTTGGCAGGTATTAAAGCCCTTCCATTTAAATGGTATTTATTCATTTCCCCCTCCCTACTTAAATTGAATCTGGGATGTATCCCAGTTTCTTCTCAGATTTATTTGATCCCTTCCAAAGCAAAGAGTGGATTTATGCAAATTAAGGTGCAGTGAGAAAAACATTTTCAAACCATCCCTAGAACACTAAGACTTCCTGAAGAAAGAAGGCTGGGAGGTGCAAAAATATTTAAGGTCTTTTAATACACCAAGTTTCCTTGGCTTTCCTTTTTCTTTGCCAACTGTTTTAGTTTATAATTTCTCCTTAAAGAAGCAAATTATTTAATGTGAATATAATGAATGCTGTGAAATATTTCAATATACTCTCCTCTTGAATTGCCTGCTCAATCTTATCCTTTTAGAAATTAGTTTAAAGAGACTAAAATAAATGTGAGAATTAGGAAACACTTCATGAGCAAGACAGAATTAATCTTATTCAAAATGAAGAGTCACTTCAATTTAAATTATCTTGTTCTCTGTAGATGAATTCTATTGGCTTTGTGAGTAAATTTGTATGTACAATATTCATAAAATTATCCTAAGAATGTTATTTGCATCACATTATATTAAACTCTTTTGTTAACTTTTCCCAGTAAATGAGAAGCGTAACAAAAGCCTTACAGTGGAGAACTAAAAAATCTACATTGAAGTGTCATCTGGGGGGTATTGGTCAGTTAGCCACCTCTGTATAGGATGTGCTTTCTTGGGAACACTCAGTAATCACAAAAGTAACTTGTTTGAGTAGTGGCCCTCATGTTTTTATTTCTGCTAAATGGGCTTAAAACTATCATCTGGTAATAGATATTAAAACAGTCACTATTTTACTTTTGAGGGATATAGACAGAACCCTGACTTCCCCAACTTTGAGATATGTAGAGTCTTGAACTCTTAGAGCTGTAGGAAGAAGACAGTAGGCCATCTCCTATGAAGTGTATTTACTACCCTTGGCATGGATTGAATGTTAAGAGTATTCGGAACATAACATATTAGTTGGTTAAGAAAAAGCTAAGATGGGACATGTTCAAATAGGAAATATTCATCTGTCTAAATCTAAAGAGGGAAAAAGAAGTAGGGATGGCTTCCATTCATCCAATATTGGCTAAGTTCAGAAGGTTTCATTTTTATAGTGAGATAAGGAAAATTTTACCTTTTGTTTTAGGGAGAAAGGTTACTTGGCTTTGCAGTAAAGTGAAATCATTCTGAGGCATTTTCTGAAAACGACTTTTAAAAGAAGGGTGGTGGGATGGAGGTTCTTAATTTAGTAGAAGGGAGTTTATTTAAATTAATAAATCAACATACCCCCTAAGAGAACTCTAGTGGTCTCATCACTCTCTCAAGATTTACTTTACATGGATGTTGAATAGAAGATAATTGTAATACTGAAATTGTTGTATCTAAACACTCTGTGTTAATTGTCATTCAGTGGATTATTGACCCTGTATAGGGCTTCTGAGGAGCAGCTAGTGAGCTTGAAACTCTGACCTTGTGGTTCAAGGTTCAAACCGACTTTGCAGTTGGTTAAAACCAACTAAGCATCCACAGACAATTAAAACAGGTCTCAGGAAAATTCTCATACCCTCTTTCTTTTTTTCTGATCTTTCTTGACCTCAGCGAGAATAATTTGCTCTTCACTTGAAATTCCCTCTTAGTTGTTAATTCTGAGGACTGTTTGTTTTTTGTAAAACTAGAAGTAATTTACACAAGAAGGGAGAGGTATGGATTTTTTTTTTTCCACTGTTGTTTCTGCAGTAGTATTTTAGAAGTTTGAGCAGCTAGTGAAAGAAGAAAATTAAATTTAATGAGACTGAGGTATACTCTGGATACTTCCAACTAACTTCTCACAGACATCCTTCTCTTCATCAGTCAACCACAACATTTAAAAAGATAACCCATTGCAAAGTTGCTCTTGTCTGTGTGAAAATTAACTCCCACCATCTGATCTGAATCTATTCCATACCTGGGTCTCTTCATTGTATCTACAGGCTCTGGCAAAATTAATAGCATTAAACACAAGAAAGATCAGGTATATAATTCTAGAATAAAATAATGTAATTTTAAAGAGAATTGTGCACCCATTTTGAAAGAGAATATTTATATTAATGTATTATATATAGTATTATATATTCACAAAACAGAGTCCTGGTGTGGCACTGTAGGGTAAGTGCTAGATGGCTAACTGCAAGGTTGGTGGTTCCAATACACTACCTGCTACTTGGAAACCCTTTACATGGTTGCTTTGAGTTGGAACTGACTCTGCAGCACTTAACAACAATTCATGTAGTAAAAAACGATCTTCTCCAAGGACTTTACTAAGCTTGGATTTGTACACACAAGTAGAAGTTAATTAATTACCAGATATAACAACTGACATGATCCAGCATCATCCTTCAGTTTTGATAATATCAAGACATAACACTCCCCCCATCAACTTAAATGGGGTTAAAGAGGAAATAAAGATACAAATAAATTCGAAGTATAGCAAATCACAGTCCCTATGTGGTCCTTCAGTTGGTCACGCTCCAGGAAAACCTCAGGCAAACTGTTTAAGGCCAGGAGGGGGTGAGAAGGGTGGGTAGTGGACACAAAAGCCATTGTTCTATGAAAAGGAATGATTACATATGGCCCATACATACAGGATATTGTCTCGCCTGGTAATGAGACGCTCATGACCATTAGATTGGCCTTTGTTCAGTTTATCCAAACTCCTTGACATACGCCACCTATTCTGCAAACGCCAACAGATGGGCCCGGGCACGACACAGCCTCAACACTTGATTTAAAGCAACAGCTGTTCTCTGCTTTCGTCTCTTCTCCAGCCAGCCCGTCTCATCGCTGCCATCCTACTAAGATTTGTTCGGCTGGTCCTGAGCAAGTCTTAGTTGGAAAGGCCCAGGTCCCCCCTCTTTGCTTCTGAGTGAGACTACAGGTGCTAGATAGTGACAAGGGTGGCCATTTGGGGTTTCTCATGGTTCTTGCTACTGTGAGACTATCAAACACTGTTTATATGGGTACCCAAGAATACTCTTACTTCTTTCCATATCGCTGGGCAAAACCTGACCTTTGCCTTGGGCGCTCTCGCGCTTTCTTTTTTTCCTGCCTATTTGCTTCTCACGGGGTCGCTTTCCCACTCTTCTTACCCAGGGGAGGAGCGCTATATTTGCTGGTACTGCTGGAGGACGTTTAGATACCCCAACAGCCTTAAGGCTCACCTACGCTTCCACTGCGTGCTCAGCGGCGGCGGCGGCCGCGCCTTCCTGCACCAAGAGCACGTGGCTCGCCAACGCGACACCCCGGATGGACTCCACCTCTCCCCGAAACCTTCGGCTCCCAATTTTGCCGGGACCGTCCAGGTGGACTCTCTGCGGCCCCATCCGCAGAGACTGCCGCCTCCTCAGGCCTGCGGGACGCGGGAGGGCATCAAACGCGAGGCGTCCTCCGCGTCCTCGGCAACCTCGCCGTCCCTGGGCAAGTGGGGGCCGCCCAAAAAGGGCAAAGAGCAACCGGAGCGCGCTCTGGACATGAGTGGAACCACCCGTGGAAACGGCCACTTCCTTGGCATTGTGGGCGGCTCCACTCTTGGGGGAGGCGGCCTGGCCTTCTACCCTGGCGTGCGCTCTGCCTTCAAGCCGGCTGGTTTAGCCAGGGCGGCCACGGCTGCTCATGGCGACCCCTACCGGGAGGAGGGGACTGGCAAGTCCGGGACCGGCCTGGCCTTAGGCAGGCTGCTGGGTGGGGGACGGCATGCTGGCCGTCCTCGGAGCGGGGAGAACCCGGCGGGCGGCACCAGCCACCACCATCATCACCACGCGCACCACCATCACCACCACCACCCAAAGTGCCTGCTCACGGGTGACACGCCGCAGCCCCCTAGCCTACCCTGCTCAGGAGTTCTGCGCGGCTTTCCTTTGCTCCCAGGTCACCCGGATGAAGCTTCTGCCTTCAAGCACGTGGAGCGCGCCCCGTCTGCCACAACAGCGCTGCCGGGCGCGCGTTACGCGCAACTGCCCCCCTCGACCGGGTTGCCTCTTGAACGCTGCGCGCTGCCAACCCTGGACGCAGGCGGATTCAAGACATATCCAGGTGGCGAATGTAGCCACCTGCCCACTGTCATGCCGGCCTTCACAGTCTACAACGGGGAGTTGGTCTATGGGTCCCCGGCGGCCGCCGCTTATTACCCGCTCAAACTGCACTTCGGCGGGCTATTGAAGTATCCGGAATCCCTCTCATACTTCAGTGGGTCCGCAGCGGCGGCGGCGGCCGCCTTGAGCCCCGCTGAACTGGGCTCCCTGGCCAGCATCGACCGGGAGATAGCCATGCACACTCAGCAGCTGTCGGAGATGGCGGCCGGGAAGGGTCGGGGTCGTCTGGACACGGGGACTCTGCCCCCGGCTGTGGTGGCGGGCGGCGCAGGGGGCGGAAGCAGCGGGGGCGGCGGCACGGGCAAGCCCAAGACGGGCCACCTGTGCCTCTACTGCGGCAAGCTGTACTCGCGGAAGTACGGGCTCAAGATCCACATGCGGACGCACACGGGCTACAAGCCGCTGAAGTGCAAAGTGTGCCTGCGGCCCTTCGGCGACCCCAGCAACCTTAACAAGCATATCCGGCTGCACGCGGAGGGCAACACACCCTACCGCTGTGAGTTCTGCGGCAAAGTACTCGTACGCCGCCGGGACCTGGAACGCCACGTCAAGTCCCGACACCCGGGCCAGAGTCTGCTCGCTAAGACGGGCGACTGCCCAGGCGCCGAGCCTGACTACCCCCCAGAGCCCGGAGAGCACAAGAGTGACAATGACAGCGACGTGGATGTCTGCTTCACCGACGACCACAGCGACCCAGAAGCCGGGGGCAGCGGCGAGCTCGATTCGTAAGAGTCGTCCCAGGAAGGTGGGGAAGAGCGTGGACAGAGGGGCTGGGGGTGGGGTGGATTCTGCTCTAGAACAGAAGCTCCTGGTAGCTAGAAGAGGGATCCCGTTGAAAAACGGTTTTATATTTCGCTGGGCGCCAGGTTTGCAACAGTGGGTGGTTCCTAGTTCGGTGCTGAAACGTAGAGCAAAAGTTAAGCGGCGGCTTAAAAATTTTGGCTACCTGTGCCACCAAAAGACGACGGGTTCCCCAGCGCTTCAGCTTTCTGGACTTGGAGGCTAGGTTCCCCCTGAATTGCCCAGGCAGTGCGCTCATGGGGTTTAGGATCACATGAAAGCGAACGACACAGCATCCTGGAGACCGCTCGATTTTTAACTGCCACGTTAAAAAATTTTTTTCTTGTGGAAGAAATTGTGCCTTTGAAACGATGTTTTTGTGTGTATTTTACATTAGCCTCTCACTGCATAGGAAAAGAGTAATAATTTGGTAGATATGACATCTGTACATTTGTTTCCATTTCATCCGTTCTAATGTCAAAGACGGCTCCTTGACGCATTGAAAATATAGTGGTAGCAGGCGTACAAATTGGTCAAGTTGCAATTATTTATAAGAGAATAATGTTGTTGTTGTTGTTAGGTGCCATCGAGTCGGTACCGACTCATAGCGACCCTATGCACAGCAGAACGAAACACTGCCCCATCCTGGGCCAATCTCACTATTGTTGCAGTGCTTGAGTCCATCGATGCTGCCACTTGGCCAATCCATCTCGTTGGGGGGTCTTCCTCTTTTTCTCTGACCTTCCACAAATGTAAAATATCTAAAGCATGAATCTAAGTGCACTCAATATATAATTTTAAAGAAAACGCCCTGTTAGGTAGAGTGTAAACTTGGTGTATGTGATTTTATAATGAATAATGTACAGTGGGTATAGTATTTTGGTCTTGGTTTCATTCATTTTGTGCAATCTTTAAGAAAATAAAGATACTTACAAATGAGTTTTTTCGCTTAGCAATTTCAGCAGATTCTTTAAAGAATATTTTAATTATAAAACAATTTCAAGGAGACTATACAATAAAATAAATCATAGAACACGAATTTAATAGACACCTTAATTATTCATAAAATACATGCATTATAAGAGGAAATATACCATTTTCATTATTTGCATTTTACAAGTTTCCAGGTAACTGGCAAAACAATTGTTTTCTGAAACCATTGTTAAAAATGGTAAGTGTTTTTCTGAATCTTGCTTACTGAAATAAGCTAAGGACCTTCAAGAAAAGAAAAAAGTCGTACTCTCCCTCCCCTCAGAGAATTCTGAACTGTAGAATCAGTCTTTATTACTTGTCGTGATCCATTTTGACAGAAATTTCCTAGGGAGGTTAAAAAGGAAACTTGCTTAGTATATTTTAATGATTCATACACTTAAATATTCATCCAACAAATATTGAACAAGGATTCTATTTGAGTTGGAGGTGCTAATCTATTTGCTTTCTGTAAACTTCATTGTTTTCACTTAACTCCTGTCAATTTCCTGCTTTCAGTATTGAGCCTACCTTACAGAAAACATACTCTTTAAGGTCACTGTGAAGTTCAGAATTAAAATGACAAAGTTAGAAGCAAGATGTTATTTATTGGTTTAAAAAAATGAATACTTAATAATAGAGTTCTTTGGACTTCTGGTGTGGCCCTGTAGGATCAGCACTGGACTGTGAACCACAAGGTTGGCAGCTCAAACCCACTATCTGCTCCTTGGAAATCCTATACAGGGTCACTGAGTCAGAACCGACTCAATGACACTTAATGACAACAACAAACAGAGTCCTGGTTTGGCACTGAACTGCTAACAAGGTTAGCTGTTCAAAACCAGCAGCAGCTCCTAGGAAAACCTATCCAGGGTACCTGAGTCACAACTGACTCCATGACACTTAACAACAACAACAACATGCTAAGAACCCAGACCTGCAGCATTCTTTCCAGTAGTTCACAGAAAGATACTAGAAGGTCATGTAAGGGCCTGGATATATGACTTTTAAGTTTGATCATTTTAAAGTGCCCTTTATTTTCCAGCTGACTTAGTGCTTACTAAAGTGCTTACACGTCTTTAACCTTGTTGTTTTCCCTCTTGGGAAAACTGCTTCTGTTCCTGGTGGACAGTAGGGACATTTTCAGGAAGCATGGACAAAGGCAGGATGTCTGACTTAGTGAAGTAGTGATCAGAAAAATACTTCTTCTTTGAGAAAAGTTTTATGATGAATTATAGATTTTTAGTGCCAACTGACCGGAAAATGCTTTCCTTTGTAAAAGAAAACCCCAAAAAAAGAACAAAAATATGTGGAGTGGGTTAACATGTAAATATGTGACAACCATGATACCATTTATCAGGCACCTATGAGCAGATCCTTAAACTATTTGTAATTTTTCCTTCTCAGAGAAGGACCCTGGGTTTGCTCCTCTAGGTTCAGGGATGGGTGATCTTGTCACACAGAGATGAAAGTTAACCCAAGCATCTGCCTACTCAACCTGTATCTCTCACTGCCTGCCTAAGATTGTGGTCTTGCCCATTGAAGCAATTATTTGAAACCAAATCCACCTGTACAGACGAGTACTGGAATTTTCTAAAGTTAGATTGTCTAAATCTTCAAGGAAAGTGAGAAAGGCTACCCAGATTCCAAACATACAAAAGTAAATATGTCATCTATATAAAGAGTGAAAATTGAACATAGATTTAAACACTTAATAGCAAATCCCAGGACCCTGGTGTGGTGCTGTAGAAAATTAGCATTGGAATGGTAACTGCAAATTCAGCAGTTCAAACCCAAAAGTTGCTCTTGGTAATCGATACAGGAAAATTTATACAGTGTAGGTATGAGTCATAACAGTAACAACAGAATTTGCAGATCCCTTCTAATTTTCCACAGGTTGCCCATACATGCCATTGAGTTGGTTCAACTCATAGCAGTCCTATGCACAACAGAACAAAACACTGCCCAGTCCTTTACCATCCTTACAATGGTTATGTGGCAATCGATCTTCCTCTTTTTTGCTAACTTTACCAAGCATGCTATCTTTCTCCAGGGACAGGTCCCTCCTGACAACATGTCCAAAAAATGAGAAACAAACCCTCACCATTCTTGATTCCAAGGGATATTCTGCCCATACTTCTTTCAAGACAGTTTTGTTTGTTCTTCTGGCAGTTCATGGTACTTTCAATATTTTTTGTCAACACCATAATTCAAATACGTTAATTCTTCTAAGGTCTTCCTTATTCATTGTCCAGCTTTTACATCCTTATTAGGAGATTGAAAATACTGACCCAAGATTGACTTGGATCAGGGACACCTTAGTCCTCAAAGTGACAACATTGCTCTTTAATACTTTAAAGAGGTCTTTTGCGATATAGTATCCTAATACAATATGTCCTTTGATTTTATGACTGCTGCTTCCCTGAGTGTTGATTATGAATCCAAGCAAAATGAAGCCTCACAACTTCTATCTTTTTCCATTTATTAAGATATTTATTGGTTCAGTTGTGTGGAGTTTTGTTTTCTTGCTCTGAGATGCAATCCATATGTGAGGCTTCATTAGTGAGTATTTCAAGTCCTCTTTACTTTCAGCAAGCAAAGTACCACCTGCATATTGCAGGTTGTTAAGGAGTCTTCCTCCAAACCTGAAGCCTTATTCTTCATATAATCCAGTTTCTCATATTATTTGCTCAGCATGCAGATTGAATAAGTATGGTGAAAGGATACAACCTTGGCACATGCCTTTCCTGTTTTTCACCCATTAAGTAATCCCTTGGAATCCTGGTATGACACTGTAGGATAACCACTGGACTGTTACCAGCAAGGTTGGTGATTCAAACCCACCACCCACTCCTTAGAAACACTATACAGAATTGCTATGAGTTGCTGCTTGGCCATCACACGACAACAGTATCTCCTTGTTCTAGTCTAAGGACTGCCTCATAGTCTATGAACAAGTTCCACATGGCCACAATGAAGTGTTCTGGAATTTCCATGTTTTACAATAGTATCTATAGTTATGATTCACACAGTTGAATGCCTTTGCATAGTCAATAAAGCACAAGTAAACATTTTTTTGGTATTCTCTAATTTCAGCCAAGATTCTTCTGACACCAGTTAACGATGTCCCTAGCACCACGTCCTCTTCTGGATCAGGCTTGGATTTCTTGTAGCTCCATGTTGATGTTCTGCTACAGCCATTTTTGAATTATCCACAGCAAAATTTCATTTGCATGTGATATTAATGATTTTGATTAGTGTTTGATGATTTCTGAATTTCAATGCATTTTTTAGAATGGGCACAAATATGTATCTCTTCCAATTGGTTGGCAAGGTAACTGCTTTCCAAATTTCTTGGCATTTACTAGTGTTCATCATGAATGTGCACTTCAAGTGCTGCATCAGTTTGTTGAAGCTTTTCAATTTTTAGTCTGTCAGTTCCTGGAGTCTTGTTTTTCACCAATGCTTTCAGTGAAGTTTATACTTCTTCCTTCAATATCATGGGTTCTTGATCATATGGTATCTCTTGAGATGGTTAAATATCAATCAATTATTTTGGTAAAGTGACTCAGGATTCCTTCCATCTTCTCTTGATGCCTCTTGCTTCATTCAATATTTTGCCCATAGAATATTGCAGTATTCAATATTGCAACCTGCAGCTTGATCTCTTCCTCCCCACCCCCCCTTCATTTCTTTCAGCTCAAGAAATGTTAGTTTTCTAACTCCAGGTCTTTACACATTTCATTATAATACTTCGTCTTCTGGAGCTGCCCTTGGAAAATTACTATTAAGCTCTTTTACTTCCTCATTTCTTCCAGTCACTTTAGCTTCTCTATGTTAAAGAACAATTGTTAGAGTTTCTGCTGATACCCATTTTTGGCCTTTTATTTCTTTCCTGCCTTTTACAGACTATTTGCTTTCTTCCTGTATGATATTCTTGATGTCATTCCGCAACTACTCTGGTCTTCATTTACTAGTGT